ACAACTACATATTTCTGTAAATTATCAACATAATTCTGCATTTTTTAGATATTTATCTTCAGTCGCGAAGATAAAAATTTAAGTATCAGGCTATCTACATTGATCATTATTAATTCTGAAAATTCCAACAACAATAATAATGTCGCAAATACATATTAACGACGATGTGAATGATAATTTAGTAAAAGAAAATAACAATGGAAAAAGTTTCAATTCGAGCAACGTTACCAACCGCAAATCTGTTGCGTTGCCATTAATTATTAATAATTCTAAAAATAATAATGACAACAACAACATGTCGAACAGCGACGACAACGTCAACAGTAATCTTGTGAATGGCAACAAATACGGTGACAATCGGCAATCTGACAACGTACAACGGTGGAACGCGCGAAATCTGCTGCCTCTTTCTTTAATAATTAATAACTCTGGTAATGATACCAGCAACAATGGAGTGTCAAGCGGTAATGATAAAGTCGATGGGAAGATTGTAAATAGAAACAATAACGGAAACTACAATAATTATGGTAATGTTAACAATGATAATCCGTCTGTATCGCCTTCTATAATTAATAATTCGAATAACAACAATAACAACAATGATATATCCAACGGAAACAAAAGAGACGTGGAGAATGAAAATAACAATGGCAATAATAATAATTCTGTTAATGTAAATTCCAATAATTCGGAACCTATGATAGTCAAGGATCCGAGGCCGATAGCGCATAGCGTAGAACGTATTAATATTGATATTAATGATGTTGTTGCTGATATTGATACTGATTGGATACTGCATATACATCGAGTAATCTTCAAGTAACAATCTTTGAGATTATTTACTATAACATACAAAAATTATAAAATTATATTAATTAGTCATTGTATGTTAAAACTAAGACTTGGTAGCATTAAATAAAACCATATATTGCATACTAGAATATTTATAATTCATCAAAGTTAATTACTTTATATTTAAAAACTTAATATAACAAATAATTTTATAATATTATAAAATATGTAACACATTTTTCTTATTTGTTGTGTGTATACTAATTTAATTTCTCTTTTTTTTATTAATGTCACACACAAATCAGATTTGATTAAATATATAAACATGAGAAGCATTTATAATTATATATATTATGATATTTAGCAGTAAAAAATAAAAATAGGGCGAACATATTTGCGGAATAAAATTTCATATTTATTACTTCAATATTATTATCGTTTTATTGTCAGTTTGGTTATCCATTATTGTCTAGACAAAAACACATAATACTTTAAACCGTAAAGTTAAAGAGAGTCAATAGACTTATATGTCATCCACAGCAATGATAGATCGATGATATCGCGACATCGAGCGTATTTCAACTGTAATACCACATACATGTTATACAACGACGTCTCTAACGATATTTAAACGAGATACAATGAGAGAGAAAGAGAGGACTAAGATGAAAACGAATTCGCGTTATCACTATCGAACTTATCATTAGACTAAAGCTCTGAGCACTAATTTAGCATTTACATCGTACATGTTACTACGCTCACGGAGATTATTTCCTGGCTTCGTCAATCTTACTCACGTGTATGCGAACGATCGAGTTTTTAATTGTAGTCATAAGATTTCGAAGAGGAATGAAAGAAACAATATTCGTTGACGAGGGGTGAAGAGGAAGAGGGGGAAGTACCGCAGAAACGGTGCTCTATACCTAAATTTGTTACATGAAAAATGCCCCTTTCATCTTTCTTTTGTGTATGTATTCTCTTTAATCTTTAAGTCTTCTTTAAATATTTTTGCGATCAATGCATGTCACCTCGTCTTTGGCTCATTATAAGAAAAATGTATACAGATAATTGTAATATTTTGAGAAAAATAAAGTGAAACATATATATCGTATCATAATTGCATAAAAACTGCATTCTTTTTAAAAATGTTATAAATTTTATATTCTGAGAAATGCTTTTTCAAAAATCAAAAGTAAAATATAAATCTACAATTAATATATTTTATATTTCCTATATATGAGAGAGAGAAAAAGAAAGCCTTTTTCACAGATAAACCCGAAAATTATATAAAAAAAAAAAACTTTTAAATAGAAGATTGTCCTTTTTAGCATTATTTCAATAAACTACAATTATCATTTAAGCAAATAATAAGCTTGAAAAACATATTCATTGCTTTTCTATAGTTCTTAATATCACATATCTAAAATCACACATCATGGGAGTCGCAGAAATATTAATCGCAACAGGATGAGAAATATCTGAAAAACAAGGACAATTTGTTCGATTAGCTAACGTGATTACGTAATCGTATCATATTTTACAATTGCGAATTTGTAGTATTCTACTTCCAAACAATTGTTTCTGAAATATTTCGTTCAATGACGATTTATCTTTTTATGCCTGGTAATAATCGTCGAATTGACGATTATTCGCGAATCTTAATCCTCTTTTTACGATCCTACGGCTTGCCACGGTCGCCAGACGAATGTCGGCGCATAAAATATTTCGATCTCGCGATGATTTATCGGTAACTCTGGGCTAAGTAATAATCATCAAAGTGACATACAGTTTCTCGCGGCTGTGCTCGTTTAAATGGGAAACCGGAGGCGGAATAAAATATTTCGATCTCACGATGATTTATTACGAAGCTAAGTAGTATTGGCCAAATTGTGTGATCTTTTATCCTTCCTTTATCCGTTCGTATTATTGCGAGCGACACGATGCGAAAAGTCACGAGAACAAAGTACTTTTCATTCGAAAATGACTTGTCGGCACTATCGAGTTAAATATTATTAATAAAAAAAAAATTATTGTCAAATTATTGTCAAATATTATTAAACCTTACGCTGATCACAAAGATATTTCTCACGTTGCTTAAAAATATACAAACTACAAAAGTCATAGCAATATGTTTGTTACATATCAACATTGAGAGAAGTATGAAGATATAAATATTAAGAAAATTACGTGGGTACAGAAATTTTATAGAAACCACAATGAGATGAGGCCACAAAGTTTCTAAAATATAACGTGGATCCAAAATTTATAACTATGAAGAAAGATACTTAAAGAACGAGAATCTATCTGTAAATTGGAATCTCTTTTAAATACAATAGGCTTTTTTGCATAATAGTTTAAATCTGTTCGATACAGACGGCACATTTAAGGCGTTACATTAGGATTATGTAAGATTATTGTCGGCGAACAGTAAGCTTATTGTCAATCGATGGATTGCGCGACAAAAATTAATTTTCTCCGAATTTTTAGATTGTCGCTCAACGGGCTTCCTTACCTCTATTACACAATTTGTTTTTTAATTTTAAATGTAATTAATTTTTTTGATAAAAGAGTTTTCGGCAATATATTATTAAATGTATAACATCTGACGACAAATTATCGTCTGATAGTGATGGAAATCTCTCGCGTATCTACTGTTGACATGGCATAATCTATGGTTAGTAAGGAAGA